TCCCATGCCCTGAATAGATGCATTGATGGTGCACATAAAATGAGCTGCACTAAAAGGTGTGCATCAAGGTCCAGTACACCGGGGTCAGGAATCAGACATTTTAAGGCCTCTAGTGCAACCTGAATTTTAGCCCACTTGCATATTTAATTCAGGCTATGATCTTTAATGAGTAGAATCATTATTTCTGCTGGACTTCTGTCTCAATATACAGGATTCAGGGTGAGTCTTAGCAGCTGTGAGTCACTTCTGTAAATGCACGATACATGTATTGATTGTCTGATGACTTGTTCTGGTTGAAGCTAGGCCATCTGGTGTATAATTCTCTGAGTGCTCTTTTCCCAAGACAGGTGTTATGCCTGTTTTACCCCAATTCACCGCAGTTTCTGAAACATCATCAGCAATAGTTCACAAATTGATTTCTCTGTTTCCCTGAGAGTGCACACAGACTTTGAAAATAACTGTTAGACTTCGGTTATCTCATGTTTCTCTGCTCCAATCCTACTGTTAAAAACAGTTTTGTTAGATGCTGCATCACAATTTTCATTCTAAAGATTGAATTAAAAAAAATAACAGCAAATATTTCAGTTATGTTTAGATCTATAATTTGTGCTTGTGAGTCATATGTTTTTGTCTGTGTTTACCCTTCCTTTTATTACATATTAATATTAATTATTAACCCTTTATTGATTTTTATGGCTTTTTCTACTTGTGACCCTTTTAGCATCACAGAATAGTTTAGGTTGGAAGGAACTTTTAAAGTTCATCTGGTCCAACCCCCCGCAATGAGCAGGGACATCTTCAACCAGATCAGGTCATGCAGAGCCCCGTCCAACCCAACCTTCAATGTTTCTAGTAATGGGACGTCTACCACCTCTCTGCGCAACCTGTGCCAGTGTTTCAGCACCTTCATTGTAAAAAAAATACTTCCTTATATCTAGTTTACATCTACCCTCTTTTAAAGTCATTACCCCTTGTCCTGTCACAACAGGCCCTACTATAATTTATCCCCATCTTTCTTATGGGCCCCCTTTAAGTATTGAAGGGCCACAATAAGGTCCCCTTGGAGCCTTCTCTTCTCCAGGCTGAACAGCCCCAACTCTCTCAGCCTTTCCTCATAGCAGAGGTGCTCCATCCCTGTGATCATCTTTGTGTCCCTCCTCTGGGCCCACTCCAACAGGTGCCTCTTTTAAATCATAATTCTTCTGATTGAATCCAAGCATCCTTGTGCCATTTCCTCACGCTCAGTCACACATCCTGATTTCCCTTTTCTTCTATGTAGGTGTGGTTTGTTTTTTTCATTTGTTTGTTTTTGTTGGTTTTTTTTAAACATGATATAGGGATATTAGCCAGTTTCTGCCCATTTTATATTGTTTGCCTGGTCCCTAGTCTATTCCACTGGTCATCGCTTCCCAACTTCTTTACCTGACCTTATTCTCCCAGGCTTTGTGAACCAGGATCAAACCAAAAGTGTTGGGGGAAGCTTAGTGTGTACATTTAAAAGCTGATGTTTGTGTAGGTAATGTCTAATTACAGACAGGTTTCTTATGAGGAAAACTGTAGCAATGTTCATTGAAACTAAACCACCACCCTGGCTTCATGCTAGTACCTGATCTGAGCTAAAGAGGCTGCTGTTGTAAGTAGCTCTGAGCTATTTCCTGTGCCAAGCACATAACATGTGAGCTGCTTCATGGTTTGTGGTGCAAGGGGGGCATCGTGTTTTCATCAACAGTTAAGGCACAAAGCTGTATGGAAAGAAAACCTGTCATTGAACTCCAGTGAGTAATGGAAGTTAATTTAAACCAAGAAAAAATTAAGCTCTCTGAAGCCCAGGGCTCCTTGGCTTTATTTTTCATCCAGGAACAAGAGATTTGCTTAGAGCTCATGTAGATGGTGAGAGTTTTCTAGTTTGTTTCCGAGACTTGGGCTTAGATGGGTGTTATCTAAAAGATGTGGGCATATATGAGAGAGAAATACTGCCTGGAACTGTCTGCAGGCTCGTGATACTGAAGTTGTTATATAAACTATGCTCTAAAATATCACCCAGCTGCACTATTTCCACATTAAAGCTATCTAAGAGGAATGCCTATGTGTTCCCATTTGTAACTGCTTTCAGCTTTATGTTTATCTGCACCCCAGATGGCTTTCAGACAGCAACTTCTTTCATTTTTCTCTTCATTTCCAAACGAGGTCAGTAAGTAATGGGGGAGCTATTCCTCTGTTCTCTCCCATACTCTGCAATACTTTTCCATAATTTTCTGCTTTTCCCAACAGCTTGTATGGTGGCGTGTATTATCTTCCTAATTACAGGGTGGGCTCTCCTGCACCCATCTCTTTACCACCACCCTTGCAGTACTTTGATATCAGGTTTGTTGAAAAAGCGTCGTTTCACTTCCTGGCTGGTGTAGAGCTATAGTTAGTGTATGTGGTGCTGAGGAAATGTGAACTCCCTTGATATTTCCCATTTGGCTACTGAGTCTGTGGCTACCCAGGCATGAAGTTGTCCCAGAGCCCATGCATTGAGGAGGCTGAAATAAGGGAAGGATTTCCTGGCTCACCAGAGGAGCAGTGTAAGACGGTTGCTGCCCAAGCAAAAATCTGGACCTTGGTTCTTCATCCCCATCTTTGAAGGGGGAAGGGTTTGCTAGCACAAGGCAAAGATTTGTAACAGCCGGCCTTCTCCTCCTGCCCCTGAAACAGCTCACTCTGGCACTTCCTCTGAGAGCAGGGAATGCTGCAGTAATCATAAGTGTATATGATATTAGCATACTGTCATATCAGTAAGGCTTTTGCTGTCTCCTTCACATTCTGCATTCTGGCAAGACTTTTAAGCTAAACAGAAATGACTTTTACAATCATGGTCTCTGTGACATAAATGTAATTTAATAAAAACATTTTGAGTTTTTATAGGAAAAGAAACATTAAAAAAAACCAAACCAACAAAACCAGCAGTGCAACTGTAGAGTACATCTGCTTTTTCTCATACTGTGACCTGTATTGACTCACTGGGCAACACTGAACAAAACTGAGCACTGTTGAACTGTGCTAGACATGTAAAGACAGTTTTGACTTCTCAAACTTGTCAACAGCTTTCACATTGCTATTTGGACTTATCAGCAGGAGCTGTGAGAGGAGGAGAGCAGAGGCTGCGTGGTGCTGGACTTGACCAGTCTTTCACACAGGTTGCGTTGGACATTGAAGTTAGAATTTTGAGAGAGCTGAGCTTGTTGTGGCCTGTTGTTTCATGACTGAAGTTATCTGAGATCCCAAGAATTCTTCCACTAAAACCAAGGCTGATGTTCTGTTTGTTGTTAAGAAAAAGAGAAAAAGCAAAGGAATGAAAACCCATGTTCTAATTCTTAAATATTTACTTGTGTCCTGAAGTTTTCTGTGATTTCTGTGGGACTGCGCTACACTGGCTGACGGTAAACACTGAAAGTCTTTGCAGGTTTTGTCACTTATTTCAGCCAAGCAGTTATTTTCTGGCCCAAAGGAAGTAGTTTTCTTTTCAATTTCTATAGGAGTAAAGTCCACCACTATTTAAAAAAAAAAAATTAAAAAATTATTTGATGGTGACATCTTCAAAAGCTTCAGCTGAAGTAATTTTACTGCAGCGTGATCATGTTTTGACAAGGGTTGCCTTGGAAAAAAACTGCATGTTCCTAGCCAGGGCAGCAGATTATGACAAAGACATAAACTAGGTTAGTAAACAGGAAAAGGCAACAAGGCCTTATCTTTGCCCCTGATAATGCTGTCGCCTTTTTAATCCACATTAAATGGAGCTCTAGGAAAAGTACGCAATTGTTAACCTTACAAAAGTACACACTACAGCCGTGCATTTTCTGGGAAGAGATTGAAAGAGTCTCGCAGTTCTGCATCACCAGGCAAAACATGCACACCCCCTCAGACAGGGGCATGGGATGCCCCACTGTTTTCCAGCCCTGAGCACTTGTGAACACATCACATGTGGGGGTAAATTGCTGAATGTGATTCTTCGTTTAGTCCAAGCTTTAATCACTGTGAGCCTTCTCAAGGCTGAACACCCGTCCTCGTTGAGCTGAGTGCTAACCTGTTGTCAGCAGTTACTTCTGTGTGTCTTAAATAGTCATAGTATAGTACAGGGATGGTTTGTATGGGTATGTGCTTGGATTATAGATGATTCTTCAGGAGAAAACAATTGTATTCATATTCAATGAAGATGAAAAGATGTATAGGTAGTGTACAGATGTATAGATAGTGTACAAATATATAGATAGTAACAGTAAACGAGTGGTTTTGAGAGTTGCTGGCACATAAGGAATCTGTAATAGCATGTCCAGATTTTTACAGTGTCTGTCAGACACTGCTTGTGTTCAGGATCGTGTTTACAAATAACTCTAAAAGAGAATCCTAAAAATCCCCAATTTTTTATCCTGATGGGTTGAAGTGCAATATTCCATGGCAACTTTTATCTAAAGGGAAATTCAAGGAATGGAAATTAAAAATCAACTGTTTTGTGCACCCTGCATCCTCTAAGGAAGTCTGTGTGGACTGCTGGTTTGCCAGATGTATTTTTTCCATCTTGGACAAATCGGATAACTGCTTTTCTGCCTCACCTGTGGAACAGAGATGATACTTCTTCACCTTTTAGATACTCATAGAGCTGAAGAGACAAATGTTTGTAAAGTACTTTGGAATTACTGGACACAGAATTTTCTGTACGAGGACTTACTCATGTGAATCATGATTTCCTAGACAGGGTTTATTGTCTAGCAAAGATTGTAAGGAAATTTAGGGCCAGGAAAAGGCAGCTTACTGAAAATTGTACTATATATCTGACAATCGCATCCCTTCTGAAGATTTTCATGTGTTTTACCTTCAGGTGATTAACATCCTGCAGCCAGTCATCACTTCAGCCTAGAAGTATTTTAGAAGAAATATGTGATAAATGAAACTGCATGAAAACAAAATTTACACTTCTTCATTCGGAACCCTGATGAATGATACACAGAGGGAGGTATAAGATGGTGAATTTCACAGCGAATGCAACTGAGAAGTGCAGTATTAATCATGACATCCACCAGACATTATCCCCCGTGGTATACATATTTGTATTTATGTTAGGCTTGCCAGCTAACTGCCTGTCACTGTACTATGGGTATTTACAGATGAAAGCTAAAAACGAATTGGGCATCTACCTTTGCAATTTGACTGTAGCAGACCTGCTCTACATATTTTCTTTGCCTTTTTGGCTTCAGTATGTTTTACAGCACGACAATTGGACCTACGATGAGCTGCTGTGCAAAATTTGTGGCATCCTCTTGTATGAGAATATCTATATCAGCGTGGGCTTCCTCTGCTGCATCTCCATCGACCGCTATCTCGCAGTTGTGCATCCTTTTCGGTTTCAACGGTTCAGGACAATGAAGGCAGCTGCGATTGTAAGCATCATTATCTGGACCAAAGAAATCATGATGTGCTGCTTTGTCTTCACGCATGGGGAGATCAGCATGGACGCTGAGAGCCACGTGGTGTGCTTTGAGCACTACCCCATCAAGGAGTGGGAGCACAATGTCAACTACTACCGCTTCTCTGCTGGCTTTCTTTTCCCTTTCTTTCTGCTGGCCTTCTCTTACTGTGGGATTTTACGAGCTGTCCACAAGAGTCATGGAACACAAAAGAAGAAGAAAATCCAAATTAAACGACTGGTTTCAAGCACTGTTTTAATTTTTGTAGTTTGCTTTGGACCGTACCACATCCTACTTGTGATTCGCAGCTTGTTGGAGACCAACTGCTCATTCGCTGAGAAAATATTTAATATTTACCATGTTTCTCTCCTGTTGACTACTTTTAACTGTGTTGCTGATCCAGTATTGTACTGTTTTTCTAGTGAAAGCACTTACCAGAACTTTGCCAAGATGCGAGACTCTTGTTTAACATGTTTAGGATGCCTGAGGACAGAGACGAAGGAATCCTATCCGCTGAATGCTCCCAAAACTGCCAACAGGCCACAACATGAGCAACAGCCAGGGTTATTACAAAAATCACATGATGGTATTGAAATGAAGGACTCCTCCAGAACCAGCATGGGCAGCCTATAGCACTCATCAAAAAAAGGACATTAATCTAAAATCTGCAGCTATGGCCATGTTTGTGTATACATCTGATTTATCCATGTATTACAACTGTGGTACCTCCAAAAGGCTCAGTGAGGTAATTTCTGGAGGTGCTTGGACCTTGGCAATAGTGAGGAAAGCACACGCTAAGTCAGTTCAGTTCAATCCTGTGCCTGTTGTCATGGTGGTACCACTCAAAGCCGGGTCTTGGTGACAGCATTGCCTGGAATAAGTTAGGACTCGCGGTGTGTGTTGTGTTGAATTCATCTTTAACTGCTTCTCTTTGCCCTTGTAGAGATGATAATTCTCTACAAGCCGTCATTGTCTGCTGAAAAGTTGGAGACTGAACAAATTAAATGTCCCCATATATACTTTTAAAAAGAAAAAAGGAAAAAAAACCCCTGCATTTCTGCCACTCTCTGAAGTAACTTCTCCTTCAGCCAGTTTCGAGGCCTGCAGAGACCCTGCCAGGACCAACCTCCTAAATCAACCAATCTATAACCTGAGGTGTTGTAGGGAAGCATGCACAACGAACTCGGCATCTGCTGAGACCTGCAGTCTGTGAATTGACTGTTGAATCTTGGACTCTTAAATCTCATTGTAAGGCTCCTATTGACTTCCAGAGGTGTGAGATCCCTTGGCTCCGCTGAGGATGAATGATTTGATTTGTTGACTTGGGAAAGAGCAGGAGGTTGGTAGTACGTGAGGCACTTTGAACCCATGTGCTTCTCTGAGTCACTGTGTTCAAGGACAAATTTGGTTGTATCTGAATTCTACTAAACCTTGCTAAGGTTTTGATTGTGTCTGCAATTTATGTGTCTTGTACAGGCAATTAAATAACAATGCATTTGGCAGGGAAACTGTTCGATGGATTCTGTTTAAACTACCTTTTCTTCCACAGATGCTACAGCTTTGGGTTTGGTCATTGTTCAGTAAATGCAGTATCAGACATATGATGTATGCACAATCTGTGTGATTTCCTGTTCCACAGGAACAAGTGGAGATAATTGCAGTTAAACATGTGGGAGTTGTGCTCTGTGGTATTTTTACTACTATCTCCTCTCTAGTTTGTTTTGTTTTTTCTTAATTATACTAATGAATTCTGAATAACTCTTGTGATCTGCTCATCATACCTTCTTGTATCTGTAACTGTGACACCATGAATATCGCCCTGTCCTTTCATTTCTCTGGTTTCAAACCTTTCTTGAAACACCTCTCTCTGCAACCTGGAGCTGATAACGTCCTGCAGTATCATCAGTTTTGTTTCTTTTATTTTATTTTTTTAAAAAAAGAAGTCAAAAGATTCTCTAGACAATCTACTCCTGGTATCTGAAGTAAGTCACCAAGCCTTGCTTGGTGGCAGTTTCTGAAAGGCATTATATAACACCACTTTTCTGAAAACCACTTTGCGAGTGCAGTATTATAAATAATTACGGGCTGTGTTTAATAAATAATGTTTTTATTATTTTCTTCCTGCATTTGTTCACTCAGTGTTTGAAATAACTCTCGTATGGTGTTGCGAAAACGGGGAGAATAAATCCAGTCTTGTGAGGCCGGCACCGAATATGCGACAGATGCAAATCGGGAAACAAACAGTAATCGTTTATTTACAGCAACATTTACAGGTTCTTTTGGATTGCCGGTGATAAATTGAAAAGCTACAGGTACAGTAAAGGTTTTATAACTAATATAATACCAACAGCAAAGCACTATGGAACACACAAACGCCAACACAACAACCAACAACTTGCCCACAGTGAGCCTGGCCGCCTGGCAAATAGATAAGCCCGTTTGAACAGAAATACAGTGGAGCAAAACCAATACACTCAGGGAAACCTAGAACTGGGCCTGAGGAGAAAATATAGAATACATTCAGGGTATATGGGCCTGAGGAGAGAAATATAAAATACACTCAGGGTATATGAGCCCAAGGAAAAACATATAGCATACACTCAGCGTATATGGGCCTGAGGAGAAAATACCACTCAGCGTTAGCTGAGGTAAATAATCTTACCCACGAGGTGACCCAAGTGGTGGGGATGGAGAAGGAGCGAATTCATTAATCTGTCCAGTTCATCGGTGTAGTTCCGAGTTCATCCTGTCCCCACGTAAGTTACCTTGGCCAGCATTCCAACCAAGGGGGAAGGTTCTCATCACTCCATGGCTGGAGAAGTAGCTCCCCCCGTTCTAGTATGAATCTTAGGGGGTTTTATTCCCTGATGTACGTGACAGCAGGCAGGAGGATGCCTGAGTGGACTCAAATTTCTGCATTACATCACCAGGGCATACATGCGGGTGGGGATGACTATAGACAATCTTATAGTTTATGTTAATATCACAAAGTCCGTTAATTCACACCTGCATGGGTAGAGGTAATGGCTCCTTTGTTTGGGGCGGAAAGAAATGGGGGACTGGGACCATGAGGCCTCCGCCTCATTTCACACTCCTCCAGGCATCCAGTTAACACCAGATATGGATCCAGTGATGGCTGCCACCTTGCCCAGTGCTTGCCACCTCCCCAGTGCTTGGTTTCATGCTTCCAGGCATTGCAGCTACATGGCTTGGACTTTGTGACCTTTTCTCTCTCTCTACATCTGGCTTTGGCCCACAGTTTCTAGTTGAGACTACAGATCCTCTCCTCCCTCCTCTCACAGAAAGGATTCATGTCCCCACTCCCAGAAGGGGATTAGGTTTGCTTAGGTTAACATTTGGTTTGCTTAACTATTTTACATTTCTTTAGACTTAGACTGCTCCCCAAGCTGGATTTATTACCTTAGACATGCATTTTTGCTCTGACTATGAGTGCTGTTCAGCTTTACTTTCTCCTAATCTTTCCTCTGACTCTGTCAGTGGGGTCGGGAGGCAGGGCCTGTCACGATGCCATGCGTGTCCGTTGTCAAGCACTGAGCCAACTCCTTGGACTACCAGGACCTGGCAGGCTGTAAACACACATGTGGGTTGTTCTGGGATGAAATATTTGTTGTTCTGTTTATGCTTTCCTTCTTTAGTTACCCATGCTGTTTAAATGAGGCAGCTGGAATGCAGAGCCTGCCATATCACATTGAATGATTAAGTCCTCTGAGTGATTAAGGCTTACTTGAGTTGCTACTTTGATGTGGTCAGCTGTTGAAGTTTAAAATCAGATAGAAACTTATCTAACGGAGTCCAGCATTCTGCTGCAGTTTCAGCATTTAACCTGCTAACCCACAAGAGAAGGATGCATTTTTAATTTTATTGTTTTTTCCTAAGGTCAGTATTTTATCACATCTTTCTATATTGTAACTGTTAGGCTCAGGCTGCAGAACTGTAACCAATACAGGAGGAAGGTAACTCAGAGCTTTTCTTTCCATCTCAGCCAGGACACAGTGAATCAAGGGTCCTACTGTGGTTGCTGGAGATATGCTACGCATTGCTATTGGATTAAATACAGCACTTGGTACTGCACAAGGGAAGGGATTTTAAAAATACGCATTAGAGAAAAAGACAAGTAAATAATTGCATTTTATAGTTCTTAATGAAATCTGACTGTTAAAACTTGTACTTTGGGGACAAAAGAGCAAAAGCTTACTAAATGAATTTCTTTTGACAGAAGTTAGTGTTTGGAAAGAGTAACACACAATGCCCCTGTCAGTGTAACATGTCAGTGAGCTGCTGAGCACACAGAGAAGGAAATCAGCTGCCTCTTTTTCCAAACAGACATTTTAAAATTATGCCAGTTTCAGTCTCTGGGTTCTGTGCAGCAGTGAACATCTGCCATCCTGTGGGGCTACCGGCTGTGGCAAAAAGCTCAAGCATTCATATGAAATATTTTACTTGATATTACAGTTTGGGGAATTTGAAGACCTCTAACGCAGATATTTTCTAATTGTCAGACTTTGAAGATAGTTCCACTGCAACATCCTTCAACAAGGCTTTAAATAAAATGAATCTTAAAAAAAAACCCTTATCCATAAAATAAACATTGGGAGTTTTGGTGAAGCTGATAGCAGCAAGTTTGACATCAACATTTCTTTCTTTCTTTCACGTGTTCAACTGTTTCAGGTCTTTAAAGGCTGCGTATCCTAAAGGACGTCAGAAGATTAATGTTCAGAGTATGCTGGTGTTTGAGGTACGAAGTGATTTTTCTCTTCCTTAAAAAGTTATGTGTTTGTCTTACATAAAGAGAAGGAAAATACTCTACTTGTGTATTTAATTCATTTATTCTTAATAACAGGATATCCCAAATTGTCTACAAACTTTCTGTGTGTTACCCGGACAGGGACAAAATATATAAATGGTAAATTACTACATGAAGGCAGTAGATGGTACAGCCTACCCTTTACACAGCTCTGCAATGCTGCCCTTATTTCATTCGCTCGGTTAAAGCTCTCCTCCTCACTTCACAAACTGCCTTCACATCAGCAGAAGGTGGTGTCACAGGGGCTGCAGGAGCTTGCAAGGCATCTGCAGGAGCAGTCTTCACCACTGTGACACTCACTGGGGTTTTTGTGTTGAACCTCCCCTCTGCAGCTGTTTTCCCCACCACAATGTATTTTTAAATCCAAGTTGCTACAAGACTTACTTCCTGTTGCAGTTATGTGGTTAGTAAAACAGGAACAGCAATGCAATCACATTTCATTTTAATCACAAGCTTTCTTTGTAAAAGCCAGATCGCCTCTTAGTATATAATACCATTTAATATCCGTTATCTCTTATAAATAACACGGGAGCAGCTCCTGATGCAGCAGTCCTTAGGGGCAGTCACTGCTGCACTTCCTGCAGCAGCTTTTCAATCATAAGCGTGTGGGTGCTGTAGAAGGGCAGCCCATCCACTTCCATTTCTAGACTGGCTGTTTTTCCACTGCGGACCCCGTGCCGCACAAGTGCTTTCAGCAGCTTTTCTTCCTTCAAAACCAAAGAAATAGAATATTATTAAAATCCTAACAAGAGCAGTCATCAAGATTTTTAATGCTAGGGGAGACTGACCACATCGTCTGTATTTATTC